TACGTCTTCGTCTTTGTACTTTGTTGTCTTGCTCAAACTTTCTGTTATTTTGTTAATACAGTACGAGGACTACATTTGTTCTTTTGTAACATGCCCGAAACTAAAGTGTGATCAACCGGTGAAACCATTTGCAGGATGCTGTTCCATTTGCGGTAAAAAATTACTTAATTTTGTTAAGGCATGATAATTAAAAGATGATAGAATATTTTACTGACTGTAAAATTGGATGACTTAGCCCAAGTGCAGTACAATGTTAGTTAGTTAGTTCAGTTAATTAGTTAGTTAGTTAGTTAGTTAAATAGTTTGCAAGTTGGTTTGTAATTATCTATTTATTTATTTAATTAGATAGATAGTTATAGTTAGTTTGTTATTCGTTTATGGTTAGTTATTTTTTTAAGTCTGTTAATTAGCGAGTTTATTAGTTCACTAGTTAGTGTGCTTGCTTACTAGTTGTACCTTTCCAACACCGATTCACTTCAAAGTTTAATCTAAATTCTTCCTAATATTATCACAATTCCAGGAAACCTTTTGTTGCTGAATTTTTCTGCTGGATTCAACAAAGCTTCTATGGAAAAACAAATACAGAAATATTTAAAAGAAGTAAGGGAATTCTATTCAACGTTTTTGCTGCATATCCTCTTCACTTTTAAACCAACAACAACAACAACATCAGCAGCAACAACAACAACAGTAACAACAACAACAACAACGGTAGCAACAAAAACAGAAGCAGCAGCAATAACAGGAACAACTGCAGCAATAACAGCAGCGACAACAGCAGCAACAACAGCAACAACAACAACAACAGCGGTAGCATCAAAAACAGAAACAACAGGCAACAGCAGCAACAACAGCAACAACAACAGCAACAACAACAGCAACAACAACAACAACAGCGGTAGCATCAAAAACAGAAACAACAGGCAACAGCAACAACTGCAGCAACAACAGCAACAACAACAGCAACAACAACAGCGACAACAACGGCAGCAACAACAGCAGCAACAACAACAACAACAAGTCAACAACAACAACAACAAGTCAACAACAACAACAACAACAACAACAACAACAAGTTTAAACATAAATCTATCTTTTTGACTAAATCTACCTTGTATTTAAAACAAACTTCACTTAACTTTGAACTGTTTTTCTTTTGCTAGTTTCCTGAAGTGATTTTTACTAGTACAAAATATGAAGAACAGCGAATTCAAATTATTCTCTGGGATGTTTCTACCTCTGGTATTATCTTTTCCTCGTTACTAAACCGACTTCATTTATCTGGAACTGATATCAGTTCTAAACTGTTTTCCCTGTAGAGGTCCAGTAGGGGTAAAATCGTATTGGTCCAGTGTTATTACAGGAAGAAACCTAGTCCGGTTTAGCTAAACTAAGCTTGCCTTATAATGGATAGCATATTTCGTTTTTTAGTAATGTCTGATATTTTTTACCATTTTAGAGCAGCCAAAAACTTTCCATGCCGCACGTTCAATTCGTGAAAATCTTCTGGCTGGTATGGTATTAATTCAGTGTAGCTAAGTTGAAAACATTTCGGAGAATATTGTCATGGAGAAAAACTTGCCGACTAATTTAATCATATTCATTTGTTCCAGACGAATCAATGCATATTATTGCAATTGAAATTCTACCCAAAAAATCGTCCGGTTCTGCCGCAGAAAGCAAATCGACAAGTAAGTATAGAATAGGTTTCTTTTTTATCCATCATATCGTTTATATGTTTATAAAGAAATTTTAAGAAGTGATTCTATCCACGGGGCATTAGTTTCAGCTTAGAATGGCAAGAGTTGAAATTATACCACATACAAAAATATCGATAGAACAAATAATAATGTTTTTACCTCGAAAGGTTGCCACAGCAGCCTTCATGTTTCATCCAAGAGGAATTATCGGGTGGCTGACAAATTTTGAAAAAGCAAAAATTTTAGAAATTTGTCAGCCACCTGATGGATGAAACAGGCAGTTGTGGTAACCTTTTATTGAAAAGCTGTATCATGTGCATCATTTTGTAAAAATAAATTTTAGGTTTCTTTCGTCCTTTTACAACAAAGATTAATCTCGGTGCTAGTGTAGTCAAATCCGACTATGAGGACTGGACTGTATATATAGTTCGGTGGGCTGAAAATTACCCGGGAAGTTTTGGCGCCTTGGATTAAAATATTGTTTTTAATGCTTTAGGTGTAGGTACGGTAACAATTGGCTTGATTGCTGCTGGTGCTTTTGTCTTTGTGCTGGTCGTGTTATTTATTTTTATACTTTTCAAACGAAAACATTCAAGGTATACGTGTATTCAGTCATTTATCAAACCAATCTAATTTTAGAGGCGCTCTTAGAAAGCCTTCGACTGGATCAGGTCGAGCTGTGTCCTTCGCAATTTAGCTTAGCTCTCAGCCGCAAAAAAGGACGATTAACAC